CTGGGTCGTATAGTAACTTTTTTTTTTTTTTTTTTTTTGAGACAGAGTCTCACTCTGTCACCTAGGCTGGAGTGCAATGGTACCAGCACAGCTCACTATGACCTGGAACTCCTGGGCTCAAGTGCTGCCACCTTGGCCTCCCAAAGTGCTGGGATTGCAGGTGTGAGCCACTGTGACTGGCCCAGAATAACTCTTGATTTGAGGCCTTTATATGATAATGACAGTTAATCTTTTGTTATACTTGCTTTTTGTTTGTGGATCTTTTGGATCTTGGGAATGGGGTTTTGGGTTTTTTTGGGTTTTTTGGTATAGAAAAGTTCAGACATTCTTTCTCATCAAATCTCTTTTCTTTGTAACTTCAACTAGAAAGTCTCCTCCATCAGGAGTTTTGTTAAATGTTCTCTTTGCTTGTGACTTTCAAAAATATTAAACTTTCTAAATTCTTCATTTTGCTTATTACAAAAACAAAACTTGAAGCAGCGCAGTTCCTATGGTCATACACCATTTACGGAGTCAGTTTTGTTTTTACCCAAACAAGATCACAGTGTAATCCTTGCATCTTGTCTTTCTCATTAGTCAATATGTTAAATCTTTTCACAATCAGTACATAGAAATTGACATCATTTTTAATGGCTCCTTGTTTTCCCATTGTGTGACCATCCCAGAGTTTACCCTTCCTGATGGATGGACAGTTAACTTGTTTCTTGGCTGGGTGCAGTGGCTCACACCTGTAGTCCCAACAATTTGGAAGACCAAGGCAGGATGATCACTCAAGGCCAGGGGTTTGAAAGCAGCCTGGGCAACATAGCAAGACCCTGTTTCTATTGATTTTTAAATTTATTTATTTATTTATTTTTTTGAGACGGAGTCTCACTCTGTTGCCCAGGCTGGAGTACAGTGGCACTATCTTGGCTCACTGCAAGCTCCACTTCCCAGGTTCATGCCATTCTCCTGCCTCAGCCTCCCGAGTAGCTGGGACTATAGGTGCCCACCACCACCCCTGGCTATTTTTTTGTATTTTTAGTAGAGACGGGGTTTCACCATGTTGGCCAGGATGGTCTCCGTCTCTTGACCTTGTGATCCACCTGCCTCGGCCTCCCAGAGTGCTGGGATTACAGACGTGAGCCACCACACCCGGCCTTTTTATTTTTATTTTTTGAGACGGAGTCTTGCTCTGTTGCCTAGGCTGCAGTGCAGTAGCAAAATCTCAGCTCATTGCAACCTTCACCGCCTGGGTTCAAGCAATTCTTCTGCCTCAGCCTCCTGAGTAGCTGGGATTACAGGCATGTGCCACTACACCCAGCTAATTTTTGTATTTTTAGTAGAGAAGGGTTTCACAATGTTGGCCAGACTGGTGTCGAACTCCTGACCTCAAGTGATCTGCCCACCTCGGCCTCACAAAATGCTGGGATTGTAGGTGTGAGCCACTGTGCCTGGCCCCTGTTTCTATTTATTAAGGAAAAGAAAAAAACTTCGGAAGAGGGGTTGATAAAATCAATGATACAATGAATATCCTTGCACATCTATTTTTGGGGTTGTATTGTTTTAAGAAAGACATTGATCTCTTTTGTCCATCCGGATTTTATTTTGATGAATGAAGTCTGCATTTATTTTATAAATAGCTAACTGGAATAGCACATTTTCCTGAGTAAACTTTCCCTTTTCCTTCAGTGTGAACACTTCCTTCATCCCACAGGAAACTTGTATGTACTGGGATTATTCCTGGGCTGCTTCTCAGTGCTGTTTATGTTCAGTTTGTCACATTTGGACACAGGTAGGTGGGCTGAGGAAGCAGCACTGGTGGCTGTGGCAGGCCCAGGGTTGGCCGGTTTTCACTCTCTCGGATGTCACAGTCCAGCTGCCTAAATCACTGCCTTTTCTCTGCCCCCAGTACCTGTTCCTGACTTTTCCACGGATTGTCTTCATGCTGGGCTTTGTCGTGGTCCTGAGCTTCCTCCTGGGTGGCTACCTGTGCTTTGCCCTGTACCTGGCGGCCACCAACCAGACTACTAACGAGTGGTACAGAGGTGACTGGGCCTGGTGCCTGCGTTGTCCCCTTGTGGCCCGGCCTCCATCAGCAGAGCCCCAAGTCCACCGGAACATTCACTCCCACGGGCTTTGGAGCAACCTTCAAGAGATCTTTCTACCTGCCTTTCCATGTCATGGGAGGAAGAAACAAGAATGACAAATGTGTGACTGCCTTTGAGCTGTAGTTCCCGTTTATTTACACATGTGGATCCTCGTTTTCCAAGCATGGCTTGTTTGTTTTGATTTCTACTGTGCTTATAAATCACTACCAGTGGGCAAGGGAGAGAGGGGAAAATGGGTGTTGACTGAGGAATCCCCTTGCTTATCTTCTTTTGAAACCGGGCACCTCTGAAGTTTTGGTGTCAAGGGAATCAAGAGAGGACTTCTCAGAGATTCCAGGTGATGCTGAGACCTTGGTGTCTCTAAACTCTGGGCATGTGGACAGGAGGGGCTTGCAGCCGTGTCTCTGACCTGCCGGATATGCAGAGGGTCTCGACTCGGCGCCTGCACGTTGTGTCTGGCTGTGCTTTCTTTTATGCCCCCCTCTATTCTCCTCTCTCCCCCAGGGGATTTTCATCTCAACAACAGTGTCCTCACCCAGGCCTGCCTTCTGGCCAGTATGGGCTTGTACACCAGGCACATTCCTGCATGCGAGGCCTCTGGCCTGCCCTCCTCTGTCCACATTCAAGCCCTTTCTGACTAGTTTAAATATTGTGAAAGTGAACTGCCACCTATTTCAGAGGAGAGATGACTGCCAGAAATGAGGTCTTGCTGCGGAAGGTCTTTGGAGTGGGAGGGCTCTCAAGTGCAGGTGGTAGGTGTTCTGCACCCAGCTAGGCCAAGGAGCCCGCAGCCAGAGAGGCGGGGAAATGGGAATCAGGGGCAGGGGTCCTTCCAGCCATCTACCCCCGTAGCTCGCCAGCTGAGAACAGATGGAAACGTGAAGACGGGTAGCTGGGGCGGCCAGGGAACCCAAGTCCGCTGGCCCAAGCCAAAGCCCGGCACCACCCCGCATCCTTGCTGGTGGAAAGCATGGTGAAATCAACCAGCGGCGGCTCTGAACGCAA